TGTAAACTTTGGATCACTAATGTGCCAAAGTCAGAAATTTGTGCTTACTCGGACGGAGCATCGGAGGGAAAGGGACGCTCAGCTTGGGGGTTCGTCCTAAAGCTGGATGGGAAAACTTTTCAAAAAGGAAGTGGCATAAAGCACGGTGGAGAGGCTTTAGATGCAGAGATTATGGGGGCACAGGAAGCTCTTAGAGCAGCGTTGGGTCACCTAAGAGGAAAGGAGTACCTGCCGAAGGGAACGGCGCAGTGTATTAATGTGTTGAGCGGATAGTCGACATGCGATAAATGCACTGAGCACGGGCAGGTCCTCGACCAGCCACGAGGAAGTACGAAAGTTTCGCGAATTATCTGGGCTAGCTCAGGTAAGAATAAAGTGGGTGCCAGGACACTCGGGAATACATAGAAACGAGGAAGCAGACGCAGCGGCCAGATCCGCCCTACGAACGCTTCCCAGCGTGGAGACTAAGCCAGCAACCACCACGACAGCATTTTTACACCAAAAATTGCATCTACAGCGATAGACTTTGCTCGACAGCTGGAGGAATGAAACTTGCCCGTCACGGTATCGTGAGCTAGATCTGCTCATGCGCCGTCGTAAACCACCAGAACTGGGGCTTTCCAGGCTACAGTTACGACATCTCATTGCAGCCCGTACGGGCCACGGCAATTTCGCGGCGTACCATTGTCGCTTCAATAATCCGCACGCTATCACAGAGTGCATCTGTGGGGAGGAAACCATCCCTACCCACTTCATACATTGTCGACTCAACGCAAATATCACGCGTCGAATCAGAGGGTCATTGTCACACAATGCCTTCTTACACAAGCTACTCGGGCCTAAGTGCTTCGAGAGCTTCAAACAATTTGCGCAGGATACCAATTGTTTTGGGTATTCTCCTGTGCATCCATCTCCTACTCTCAGTGGAGATCGAATATAACTCTTCAGGAAACTAAACCTGACAAAATGGGAATCGAGGCGAGGAGTATTGCTTCCCATTCGAATTTCTTTGCAATTTATCAATTTCTTTTGTCAATTTTGGGAAAAGGAGTTCGCGTCGGCGCATATTTTTAAGTTACTGCTGGTTTAGTGGTGGTTCATGCGGTGGAATGAAGCTGGGTATGTCTTAGATGTAGTTCTGGCTGTGAACATCGGTTCTGTACTCATAGTGGACTTGGAGCTTTAGCTTAGGACTTTAATAAAACAACAACAACAACACACTAATACTCTTACAGGGTTACGAGTTTGAGATCACATGATTATAGATAGTTACAAGATTATGACTCGTAGATTATTACATGAATACATCGACGTTAAATAAAAGATTATATGAACATAAACGGTTACAGAACATTTTCAGAGATAACGTCAGGTCAAACGTTTCGAGCTCAGGATGTCTCACGTGAGATCTTGGCGCACTTAGCCCGCAGGGTTACATATACTTTCTTGTCGCTTTCACATCGCTTTGGATGCAGCTCATAGTCAGGTTGACACAGGAAGAGCAACATGACTGCATCACAATTAACTTTCCACATTTGAATAATGTGCACATTCGCCATGAGGTATGATTGACCTAGATCATAACTCACTGGTATGGCATGGAATTTTCCAGTAGATTCCTAATGGTATCTATTGGCGCAAGGATCTCTCACATCCCTCCTTTCTGGGCTAGACTAGGAGATATGTTGAAATATCCACTAGTGTGTAGAAACCCCTTATTCATGTATACATAGGAAGGTCCTGTCACGTGGATAATGTAAGCAATTTATACAATAGTATATTCAAACAATCTATACCTCATTCACGCACTTGAGAATACCCGGAAATATCCTTAAGTTTGTCCATTGATCCAAGTCCTAAGAGTGTACCTCGCAAACTTCACTTCTCTTAAAGCCAGAGCTAACTCCTTCCATACCTTCATCCTACCGAAAAGCCATTCCAAGTCAGCGTAGCCTTTCAATACATCAGAAGGAAAAGGCCAAAAAGATTGCTCTAGTTGACCCCTAAGTTAATAAACAATGATATCAGCAATGTCGAATAAAGAGCTCACAGCGCTTAAATGGTGTCACAGTTCGAATATAGAAAGCAAATGGGCATTTGTATGATGGAAAGGTAGAGCAATATTTCATCTATGGAGAGGCAAACGGCCTGTAAGTCTCCCATTCTACTTATACACATCTACCGGCATCCTATCTAGCCTACGTTTTAAGTGGCAATGCAAGTAACTCAAGGTTTCTTCCGCTACACGGGTGATGCATCTGATACTCTTGGCACTAAGTTTTACGTGGCCTCAATGGAGATTTCGTATCCGTTCCACTCCTCTGCTCCTCCTCGGAGGGATAGAGTTCATGGGTTGCCTTCGGTTTCCATTGGGCGCCACAGGATTTGTCGGCTCATAAGCCATCAAACATGGCCTCAATGTATCAACCTGAAGCAACTTTTGATTTGTCAAGTGCAGGCCAACATCGAAGACCTGGAAAGGAAGAAATAGAGGCGTTGAATAGACGTCTAGACCGGCAAAGGCAACATATAACCCGCAGACTGACCTGTATTCCATTGCAACTAAATATGGCCAAGTTGTGGCAAGATCGATGTGTGAAAGTACTTCAATTAATCCTTGGAATATTAAGCTAAAGAGAGGAGAAAAAGACTTTGAGAAACGGGTGGACCTGCCCCAAACTATATACAAAGAATATGAGTAACATGGATGAATTGGCGGGGAACTGTCAGGGGATAAATGATCGCGGTCATAGACCGTGTGATGAAAAGATTTACTGCCCATCTAAAAAGAGGTTCAAGGTCGAGAGGACCTACACACAACTTGCTCTACAGGAGAAACATAAGTCCGAGCGCTCTTGCTAATGATCTACACCTTGATCTTGTTGCATGTTCCAGCTGCCAAATACAAATGATCGCCACGTGGAATAACTCAACTCTGCTTCAATGCTATTGTTTCGTTCCCTCACAGGAACATCGCCTTTATGCAGAGTGCAGCTGACACTACAAAAACAAGCCTACGATGGAAGGTGCTGTGGTCCGCCTCCTGGTGGTGTTCTCTGGTCTGGTTTGAATAGCCTGGTGTGACGGCCCAGCACCATAGTATTGAGTACAGATACAATGTCTTAGCAATCAGTCAGTGTTGTATAGAGCTACCCTGTATGGAATGCACGGACTAGGTGTAAATTATGTACTATTATAGATCTGTAGATGTATTCCTTTCCTTCTCTTCTTTAGTTTGGAAACATATACATCTCAATCCTAATCTTAGTCTCTACTTGATTCGACATTGTCATCGCTTAGCTCGTGCTCTTTCCGGACACTCCCCCCTGGGAAGGAGACGCCTCAGACCACATTTCGCGCGGAGAAAAGTTGATGGATGATGGAGGCATGTCTGGATAACTCAGGGTTTTTGAGACGTTTCTCTGGGTGGGTATTCACGCATGAGGCTTGACTTGGGGTGAAGAAGAAGCCAGCATAACTTCGCAGTGATACTTGCAAATGAAATCCGAGGTATGAGTGCTCTTCTTGTGAATTGAGTCATCTTTTCTGTACTTTTCTTTGATATGGTGCCACAGCCAGATAGCTGCACACGCAATTAAAATCTGATGCAGAAAAATCGCCTTTACGCCTCAGGCCACCCTCATCATGAGCATCGTGACGAATCGTCACTCGACTTGGATATTTCTGTTGATTACTCGTTTGCATACCGCGAAGATTTTAGCTCCCAGATTGGGACTATCAACATGTTGGCAAAAGAGACTTCTACAGTGGACTATGAATTCGTTATCATAGATAATATCTTCCGCTGGTTCTCTGTCAGAACCCAGAGGGTTACCAAAAGCGTTTTAGCATCTGAAAACTATGCAACAAATAGCGGAGTGTTAAGATTATGAGCACATACGGGTTGAATCTCTACCTTGGAAGGATGCTATATTTGTTCGTAGAACACCAACGTAGATATCGAAAAGACTTATGTTAACTGAGGAACGCTTGTATTAAGATGACTTATTCTTACTCCTACTGCTAAGAGATACATCTCATAATATACATGTCCTGGATAGCCATATCACAGTTCCTACACTACCCAATACATTCCATTCCATTACATACTATTCGATCCCATACCACTCCATTACAAATCTATGATGCCCTAGTTATGGGTTGCCCTCAAGTCCATGTCCTTGGGCTTGCATGAAATATTGGCATGTATAAATCTGCATAGATCTGGGATCTCTTGGCAGATTTTAACACGGAGTTCATGTTGCTCAGGTCAAATTGAGCACTCTACAAAAATTGCAGCCCAGATTGAGATTGCCGGAATTTCGATGGTCGTGTGTACTTATTCCTACTCCCTCTACGAATGTCTCGTCATGCTTGGCAGCACCAAAGAGAAGCGACTCAAAATTGATATCATGGCTCTTCGACAATCCCTTGAGCGTCGAGAAAATATGGAAATTCGATGGATCAATGGAGAAGCAAATATTTCTGACGCAATGGCTAAGAACGCTCCCAGTAGTGCTCCCACTACCTTTACTGACACCAACTTCCCCAGGATACGCGTTCAGGGATGGGTAAAGAAATCCTCCGAGAAGCTCTAATGATCTGCATGAGTAGATTAGACCAGATTAGATTTTATTATAGTCCTAACTGAATCTATGACTATGGAGGACAAAAGTATCTGCATGAGTATTTAGGCCTATTTTGAAAACTTTTATTTTAATCAATTTATTTCCTAAATTTTGTCCTTTCATTTATGATTTAGCTACGAAAATGAGACAATTCCCGAACGAGATAACTACTAGTGTTTGGAGTATATCTGGAGAGCTGGCATAAACACGTATGATTCTATTTTTAATACTGTAATCGTATAGACACATCATCGCATCTCCTGAGATAAGAATTAAAATCATTCACTTGTACCTGCATTGTACCCCTTTGATTGGATACCATCGTTCCATGATATACCGACATCATTATTTTCAAAGAAAACATCGATGTTGTTACTTATCCGGATTTTGAATATCTTGAAAAAAATATTCCCCATATTGGCCCAACCAAGTGTTGTCCGGATTAAGGTTTTGACGGTTCCTATATTGCCTTTGAGCATAGCTCAATTTTGCGTATGGTATTTCAGCAGACGCTCCCTGGGGTTGTTGGTACCCTTGAGATTGGCCTCCGTATCCTTGAGGAGGGCCCATAGATGACCCAGGTCCTTGAGGAGGGCCCATAGATGAGCCAGGTCCTTGAGGAGGGCCCATAGATGAACCAGGTCTTGGAGATGGGCCCCCAGGTCCTTGAGGAGGGCCCATAGATGACCCAGGTCTTGGAGGTGGGCCGCCGGGTCCTCGAGGAGGGCCCATAGATGACCCAGGTCTTGGAGGTGGGCCACCAGCTGCCTCAGCTCTTGAAGGCGGTCCTAGTGAATTACCTGGAGAGCCACGTTGAGATCCACTGCGTCTAAATGATTTACTACTTATAAAAGATCCAATAACATCTTTAGAAGAGGATGAATTTTTGAGATTTCTTTTTGATCCATCTGAATTAGAAGAATTTGGAGGGCCATCACCTCGAGGAACAGCATAAAGGGCTTGTGTCTCATCTTCATTGTCGTAGTCACTACTATATTCGATGTTGCCGTTGTCTTCGTTGTTGTCGCTAAATATGCCTGGCTGAGCCTTTTTAGACAAGGTCTCCTGCATTATTTTCTTGGCATTTTGTTCCTTCGCGTCTTTGCAGATCGTATACTGATCATCGGATGTCTGTAGTAATCCCAAAATATCACAGGATTTGTTGGTAAAAACAAGGACATCAACCTCTTCTGCTTAGTAGTTAGTTACGGGCTTTGCGAAAGGGGGCGGCGTCTCAAAAAAGAGATGTAAGTTTGGTGACGCCTTACCTAGAGACTCAGAGCTGTTTCCTTGGTATTTCCAAAGTAAAACGGTCTCGTTAAAGCCATAATCTTCCGAGTTAACCCAGACCTGAGGATACTTCTTCGCCTCGACGTTTGCCGCGAGTTCGGCCGCGGACAGCTCGCTGTCTGGAAGACATGCATCCGTCACACTTTTCTCCACGAGAGCTTGATCATAGGTTGTGTTTGTAGTTCCTTCAGCATCCGAGCAGAGATACCCATGTTCCCCAGCGACGTAGACCGAGAAGACACAGGGGACAGCTGCGAGAGTTCCGAGAAGTCGCATCTTGCGGCTGTGGCGTTGTTGATGAAAGTGAGTGGAGCTTGAACGGCAGCTCCTCGAAAAACGAGGGTTAAGATGGAAAGAATGAAATAGAATGAGCGAATGTGAGTTGATGGTGGGAGTGGAAGATGCAAGATTTTTATACACAGCTTTTGCCTCTATTTTCTTCCCATCATCATCATCGTCGCCGAATCCTCATTTTCCAAACTTAGATGGGTGGAGCACAGCAGAGAGACTTCAGAATGGCAGTAAATTGCGAATCTATCGAGCGGGAACTATGACTGGTTGAGCCTACATCACAAGTTCTCTTCCCACACTTGGCTCGAGGTCTTTGAGTTGAGGATTCCATCCGCCAAGAGCGTCAAAGATGGCTAGAGTTATGGAACAAGCTCTGGCTTGAGTCTCAGTTTTAGTTGAGCTATAATTCATCCCTTCGCGCTAGATGTCGCGGATGCAGATTTTTCTTCATCCATCTATCTTTAGGATTGCGCCTCTCCTTGGCTTATCCTTCTCCGTCGTTCCAATCCACTTTTCTCCAAAGATAAATTCTTGATTGTGGATAGTGGAGAGAATGCTAGTGACAGGATCTGTAAAGTTCAGCATGTTAAGGAGACTAAGCTCTGTATTTATTGAGTAGTAACACAACAAATCCAATGCGAAATATCAGCAACATCCTCTGCCCAAGTATGGGTAAAGAGCAATTTCCCGTAGTCATCAAATTTCAAAATTATCAGCTCGTCTTAGTCGTTATCATATCACACATACCCAATTTGGCTAGTCCACGCCAAGGTTGTTTATGTGTTCAGAGTGGTTAAGACTTCTTCTGATTGATCTCACACTGTGCAATGAGCCTCGCACTTGTTTCACCTCGATCGGACAAGGTCTCACATTTGTCACGCTTTGAACTTCACTTTGACTTTTACACGGGGGACTCAGTAGATTGTAAACACAAGGTATGATGCACAGTTTCGATTTGGTGGAATAGAAAAATGAGCTTCACCAGAGATGGTGTGCTAATCTCCTAGGATGGTCGTTATGATTAAATTTCCCTTGGATTTATTTACCGCTTAACTTTCTTCGGCACGTTCGCTTCGTTGTCCCAACTATTACGCATTCATGTTTTTTAGACAAGTGTAATTTTAACATTATAACCTGTTGTGACTATCACCTGTAAATCATTCTAGTATCTGTATCAAACATTATGGAGAGCAGCAAAAGAGGTGGAGATATGTTCCTGTCGCAATACTTCTTAGGGATGGGTTTTCTGACAAGCTTATTGTAAGAATATTGACAATAATCATTTGTGATTATCTCAACTTCAAGAATCCATCAATAGGAAAAACTAATGGATAGGATAGAGAAGCGCGTGCGCAAGCCTAAACCCTTTCTGGATTATGGATTATTCCCCGAACCAGACACATGATGGAACACATATCCAGAGTCACACATCCAGTTGGAGGACCGATTAAATCTGGCTCGTAGAAGGACTATCATGATGTTTCAGACTTGAGATTACCTGCATGATATAGCGTTGGCCAAGTTACGTCTTCTGATGGGTCGTGAGACTTTTAAAATGTTTCAACGTTTATTCAGCTTTCTAGTTATGTCACTAATATCTAGGTTAAGTAACTAAGAAGACTGTGAGCTATTCCGAAATTTGAGATAGCCTTCAAACTACAAGGTCCGTAAATCTATCACCACGGTACAGCTAGAAAAAGACTTTGATATGTGTCTCTTACACTTCTCCCGGATATGCCGCAACGGTCAACCGCCTTTGTATCACAATAATGTTGGGATCTGTTTCAAATCTACCACGTCAAAGTTGGTCCTGTCTTTGTCTCGCGAATCCTCCCACTCGATTTTACCGAAAACTACCTCGCCTGAATGATCGACGAAGGAGCTGTGTTATGGGCGGGGAGAATCTCGGAAACCGCATGTGAACAGTACCACAAAGAATTAATGCTTTTCTATGTAAATTAACTGTAGGAAATCTGTTAAATTAAATATGCCCTCGGCAGTCACCGTGATCCAGATTCCCGACACGTATTCCTTCAGTACTGAGTGATCTATTTTCCAGCTTCAGCACAATTAAGCGAGTGATTCGAGTCGTGAGAAACGATCCTACGTTGTGGGTCCAGCGTCCCGTGACTTAGGGTCGCGCACATTCTTGGACATAACGCATGTAGCTAGAGAATAGAATTTAATTCAAGTCCCTATTGAGTCTGTGACTATGAAAGACACGTAGCAAGATAAAGGGGATAGACAAGATTCAATATACTTCATTAAAAGTCTTACTTCTGGTAACAATTGTAAGCAGTCGATATGCGACTCAGTTTACATTAAATACGAGACTTGGATCCACAACGTTGGATCACGGGACTAATATCCTTGAACGAGGCTCGGCCTGAAGGATAGCCCAACTTAACTGAACGGGGCACAGCCGGCAACAAGATACTCCAAATGCAAACAGCAGCTTGCCTAATCGATCACCGATCATCTCCGACTGAAAAAGGACGACGTCACACATACCAGAAAGAAGGATGTCAAGTCACAATATACAAAGCTCGTGTCTTTGCATATGCGGGACCGCTGTTCTACTGGGACTTTAAAATTTGAGGAGGAAGATGCAGCTGGGAGTGTCATGGCTTTAGTACAAAATGCATGGGCAATCTTGTGAGAACAGCTTATCAATTATAATTCTCTGGGGAAAGAATTCTTGTAGCTAGACTACAAACATATATACACTCTGAGATACTCCTCTTCTATAGAGCTATCCCTGTGACTAGAATAATATGGACTCCTCGACAATACCCTAGAAGATTCTTGATACCTCTGTCATCCTCATGAACCTTCAGTGTGCTTCCGGAAGGTTCATTGAGAATCTTTCGTGACGGCTGTCAAGCCTAAGAATTCCTGTAGCCTACGCTATCTATCGCAGGCAATTATACAAAGGGAGCGGGTTGGATGGTGCAGTGGTACACCATCCGGGCCGTTCTCCCAAGCGGATATTGGGTAGCTTCAACACCTACCCCATTCGAGATAGGAGAAAGCTGATTCGAATCCAGTAAAACCTACATACCTCTCTCTCTCGCCGTGAAATAGTGCTTGTGGGATGATGATGAAAGCACAATTATATAGCCACATGTTTTTCACGCTTTTCCATGTGGTGGGTATGCACGGAAGAGGTTATACGCCGTAAGGGTTAACCTCGAGTGGTATCTGCAAATGAAATCTGAGTGTGAGTGTTCTAATCGTCAAATTGAGTCATCCTACTTAAAGTACATATCTTCCGATAAAAAACCTGCATGGGCCTCAAGGCGCCAAATCAGGTAAAAATGAATTATATATATACGAAGGGAGTAGCTTCCTGGGAAGACCTTGGATGGCAGAGAACTTAGATGATTCACATTGAACCTTGTTGAAACATACTGAGAGCTTACGAGAGTTATAGGAGTATGCTGGATCTTCTAAGTGATTATCGGAGAGTCTGAATTGTCAAATCATAGAGAGAACCTTGTCGAAGGGGGATATTTCAGACGTTAGATATAGGTAGTCCTTAACTACTCGAATTATTTCTCCCGAGTATTATAGTTAAAATATTGTACCTGTAAGATCGCCCATCCATTTTGTAACTGTTATAATTACGAGGTTAAATGTATAAGTATCGTGGTAGGACAGAATAAATATAGGAGAATGTGGAATGAATATTCTGGTGGTGGGCGAATGTATATAGACTATCTGAGGATAAAATGGATATCTAAAGATGAACGCATAATCTACCTAAGAGGTAAATGGACCTGATAATATACATCTACGATTTGCTCTACAGCAATGTCCATTGATTGTCTGATGTACTCATGTAATGCGTATCAACATTGTTTGCTCATGAGGCAAGACTGGACACCTGTACGCGGTGTCCTCTACGAACCTGGGAGTGAAATATTCTCACAGAGCCATGTTCAGTCAAATTTCGCAATATCAAAGAAGTTGGCCCACGAGGCAATGATTCAAATTACTTCACCACGTCAAATTTTCACTCCCGAAGAGATCGAATCCTACTTTAGCCTCATAAGTCTGCAAGTACGACCAAGTACATCCTCGTTCCAATGACCACACCTCTCTTCGACTTTCTCTGGCCTCAGCTAGTCGCCAAATACACGCCTCGCCGATATTTATACCCGACAGAGGAAGCAAAGCGTGGCCTACACAACTGGGAGACAGCTCTTTGGGATGGACGTGAAATTTATCAGGACAAGTCCACAAGATGATGAGAAGGAAGGATACAACCTCGACGGGCGTGAAATTTCGAATGGGGCAAGGAGTTTTTACAAATTGAGCTTTGTGTGTGCCAAGGCTTCTGTTGTGAGAGTGCAGGCAACACTATAAAAACTGCTATGGTTGGATGGTCCGGTGTTACATCGTCTTGGCCAGTCTGCTAAGTAGAGTCTGGATAGCTTGGACACATATCCCACTCGAGACAGTCGATCGCCGGTTCAAATGCGGCAAAACACAACCACATTTCTCGCGGCGCTAGTATACATGGACGACGTTGGAATGCTTGAAAAATCAAAGGTTATGAATTTCCCTTTGGCGGGTACTTACGGGGGAGGGTCGACAGTTTGTGTAGGCGAACACACCTCATAGTGGTATATTATTGTTGTTGTTTTATTCAGGTCCTAAGCTAAAGCTCCATATCCACTACGAGTACAGGGCCGATGTTCACAGCCAGAACTACATTTAAGACATACCCAGCTTGATTCCACCGCATGAACCACCACAAAACCAGCAGTAACTTAAAAATATGCGCCGACGCGAACTCCTTTTCCCAAAATTGACAAAAGAAATTGATAAATTGCAAAGAAATTCGAATGGGAAGCAATACTCCTCGCCTCGATTCCCATTTTGTCAGGTTTAGTTTCCTGAAGAGTTATATTCGATCTCCACTGAGAGTAGGAGATGGATGCACAGGAGAATACCCAAAACAATTGGTATCCTGCGCAAATTGTTTGAAGCTCTCGAAGCACTTAGGCCCGAGTAGCTTGTGTAAGAAGGCATTGTGTGACAATGACCCTCTGATTCGACGCGTGATATTTGCGTTGAGTCGACAATGTATGAAGTGGGTAGGGATGGTTTCCTCCCCACAGATGCACTCTGTGATAGCG